GGGAGATGGATTAGGATCAGGCGGAGGAGGAGGATAAGTAGGATGAGGAGGAGGAGGACGAGAAGGAGGAGGAGGAAAAGGATGATGAGGAGGAGAAATTGGAGGAGGAGGACATGCAGGAGCAGATGGAGGAGAAGGAGGAGGAGGAGGAGTAGGATGATGACGATGATGATGATGATGATGATGATGATGATGATGATGATGATGATGATGATGATGATGATGATGATGATGAGGAGGAGGAGGAGGAGGAAGGAGGAGGAGGAGCTCAGGCTTCTTCAGGAGGAGGATGCTCCTTCATCCCTTGGAACTTACAGGCTGCTGGCGCTCGTCTCGGTGGCGGCTGCCTTCAAGGCGCCAGGGGGGTGCAGTCTTTTTTGTGTGTCGCGAGGGTCGCGGGAGAGACGGGGGCGGGTGGGAAAGAGGGAAGCAGGAAGGAGGAGGAGGGGGAGGAGGAGGAGGAGGAGGAGGAGGAGGATGGATGTATGATGATGATGATGATGATGATGATGATGATGATGATGATGATGATGATGATGATGATTGATGATGATGATGATGATGATGATGATGATGATGATGATGATGATGATGATGATGATGATGATGATGATGATGATGATGATGATGATGATGATGATGATGATGATGCTGATGATGATGCTGATGCTGATAGCTGAATGCTGATTGGAGATGATGATGATGATGATGATGATGATGATGATGATGATGATGATGATGATGATGATGATGATGATGATGCTGATGATGATGATGATGATGAGGAGGAGGAGGAGGAGGAGGAGGAGGAGGAGGAGGAGGAGAAGGGAGTGAGGAAGTGAGGAAGTGAGCCATCTTGATCTGGAGCAATCTTAGAGGCCACCGTGGGCTCTCTGAGACCCCCTTGGAGCCATCTTGGGCCATGTTGGACGCTCTAGCTCCTCCGTGTCCCCCCCCCCCTCCCCGGCCCAGGGGAAGGGGTAGGGGGAGGGAGCACGAGGGTGTTTGGCAGCGAGAAGACGAAATTCTTTGAACAGCCTACGCCCAGAGGGCTGGTGGGGTTATTCTGGGTTTCTTAATAAGCGTGGGGGGGTATCCCCCCGAAGGGGTTCAACCTCGCCTCGTCGTCGAGCCGCGATGGGGGTCGGAACGCCTTCGGCGCGCGGTGGCTGCCTGCGACGGGGGTCGATGGGGCTGTCGGCGGGGGAGACGCCCCCCGACGCTTATCAAGAAACTCAGAGTATGTATCGGCCTGGCCCGCAAAGCCTTATATAGGCCCAGGGGATGCTCCGCATTGGCGGCTCGCTCGTTCCCTCCGTCCTCCCTCCTCCCTCCTCCCTCCTCTTCCCTCCTCCCTCCTCGTCCTCGTCCTCGTCCTCCTCCTCCTCCTCCTCCTCCTCGCTCGCTCACTTCGGGGAGGGGCGCGGTGCCTGCGGCAGGCGCACGTCGCCCAGGACGCCGCCCGCCCCCTCACCGCGCGGGGCTGCGCATGCCCTGGTGGAGTTGGGGTCCGAGTCGAAGTCAGAGGAGGGAGATGGGGACGGGAGGGAGGGAGGGAGGGAGGGAGGGAGGAGGGAGGATAGGAGGAAGGAGGCGCCCAGATGAAGGGCTAGGCGCCCGCCGGCGCGGAGGAGGAGTGCGGGTGTGCCATCGGCCCACGTGCGAGGAGAGGAGCAGGGAGGGAGGAGGAGAGGAGGAGGGAGCGGATTTGCCTTCGCGCTCCTCCCCCGCCTGACCGACTGTTTCGTGGCCTATCCAGCGCAGACAGTCTGGCCGCGTCCAGCCCGGGTCCCCAGAGGTCCCCGGCAGTTGTGCCAGCATGCCCCTGGTCGGCATAAGCTGCGCGGGCGACGAGCCAGAGAGCTGGTCATTTCGAGTGACGGGTCAATTGCTTCTTCTTCGATCATGTTAGTGGTGTGCTTAGGGTTTCCGCCACCGTTTTCCACAATGCTTTAGTTGTGATTCCTTCGTGTAGGCCGTTCTCCAAGCAGTGCCTGCACTGCGGGTGTTCTGCGCTAGGTGCGCGTCCGACGAGGACGGGCCGCAGCCCCGCCCTGCCGATTCCTTCCTTGGGGGAGTTTGCCAAACGGCTTCGCTGGTCGGGGTGATTGTTATGAGGGTGGACTATCTGCTCTCTGCGTGCTCGCTAGCTCTTTCCTACGACGGCGCCTTTACTACTGGAGGCCTGGCTGCACCCGAGCAGATGCTCGCGGGTGGCTTTCCCTTCGGCGCTTGCCTTTCTCGTCTTGAATCCCTGCGGTCCACCTTGGAGGGCTTCTGCGGCCCCGGACCCGGCGGCCAGGCCTCCCCGCAGGTCCCGGTGTGCGGCAAGGACGTGGTGAACGGGCTGGCCGCTTCGCAGTGGATGCTCTGCCCCGTACTCTCCCCAGTTTCGGGCCGACTCTAATCACCTCGGCCAGCTTGCTTCGGCGAGCACCCGGGTGCGCTCGCAGTGTCCTCCTGTCCCTCTCGTCTTCTGCACGCCCACCTCTCCTTAGCT